TTCTATGCACGCGAAAACATACCCACAAAAGAAGAAAAGAAGCAAAAAAAAAAAAACTAAAAAAAACTAAAAAAATCATAGTTCAACTTCTAATTTTACAATGACAAAATTAAAAACCCTATCATATAATTGAAATTTTTAATGAGAAAATCGCAAACCCTCCAAACTGCAATTTTTAAGGAGAAAATTGCAAACCCTCCAAACTGAAATTTTTAAGGAGAAAATTGCAAACCCTATCTCAATTGTAACTTTTGATCAGAAAAATTGAAAACTCTCTCAACTATAACTTTTGAACAGAAAAATTACAAACTCTCTCAACAAACTATTTTTAAACGGAAAAATAGAAAATCATCTCAACAAACTATTTTTGAACGGAAAAAAACCCTCTCTAGACACACAAACACCCAAAATCTCAATACATCCAAAAGACTACATTTTGTTGTTGTGTCGAAAACTCAAACTAACTATCTTTATTTATATTAATACTTAAATTCAATTTTCTTCATACTACTTATGTGAGACTTGGATGAATATACTTTTTAATCAAACACTATGGTCAACCTCCCAAGAATAAAAATAAATTGTTTATCACTAAATGATGACTCTTTTATCAATCTTGGTTCAATAACTCTTTTCCATAACTTCACGGTATGAATGATAAATGTATCCCTCTATATTTTTCACAAGTTTGTATATCTTCTTTATTCTTATAGATCAAAATTAAAGTGTCTATTTTCCATGTGTGATATGGCAGGAGAACTGACTCGAGTGTTTTTGCATTTTATCGCAAAATGTTGCGGATAGCAAGAGTCGCCACCGAATTTTCTTTTATCCAACAAAGGAAAGGGTGAAAAGAACATGAAAGACCTTTCAAGGTATTTTCTTGAGTTCAGGGGGTAGGTTATGAAAAGGGAAGGTGTTATCACCCTTTTCATCCGTAGTTAACTACGAGCTCTTAGTTGCTTGCTAGGTCACTTTTGCTTTATTTGAAATGTGTTTGTGGTGGGTTTTTGAAAGTATTTTAAAAACGCCTTTGTTTCGGCAGACTTTATAATGATTCTTGTCTCTATAAGAATGTATACAAAGTGTTGGTTTTGAAAATGGTTCAAAGAGATGTTTGTTTTTTAATATGTTTTGAAAGTGTAAGTGTGAAAATGGTTTTGATTTGTGAGCAAGCAACTACGAGCGTCCTACCTACTCAAAAGGTCTTTGTTCTTTTCCTCCTCCTTTAAATGTTACTATCTTACCATTGATTGGTAAGAATCCCCATCATTGGATGTGAAGGGACGAGCATGGGTCAATCGTATAGTCATAGAAGGCAACTTATGAGACATTTTAGCAATTTTCGTAAGGGACTAGATCGTTTACCGAAGGTAACATCGAGGGACATCGAGGGACTGCAATCTTTTTTATCGAGGGTCTTTGCTAAAACGCCCATATTCGAGGGTCATGACTATTTTCCGAGGCAAAAATCAAGGTTACCCTAGAGGTGCACGTATGAGTAATGTGTTTGATTGCATGCATTTTTGTCTTTGATATTAGGGTTTTCTAACGGTTGATTTGATCATGCCATACACACCATAATTACTAACAATTTATATTAAAGCGGTAAATTGCGGAAATTAAAATCCTAAGCTATTACATCATTAGGGGAGTGGGGGTACAATTTACAAATGGGGATGAACTAGAAACTTAAATATTACAACCATATCAAATAATAATGAAGACAATGTAAAAAAAGTGTAAAATAAAGGAAAAATTGCATTTTGAACTGTTATGTGTCGACACATGCTGCTATGCGTCGACACATAACTTTCCTTGCTTCTGTAAAACCAAACCAACTCAATATGAGTCGATTCATAATGGGATGTGTCAACTCATGCACCTGTTTGTATCGATATATACGCATTTTGTGTCGACTCATACACCTTTCATCCTTCTATTTTGGGGCCTGGATAACAGTAAGAGTCGATGCATAAGGCTATGTGTCAACTCATACCATGTTTTTCACTAGAATGAGTCGACCCAAGTGGGTATGTATCGACTCATGCTGCAGTTTTTTGCCTTAAACATTATTTTATTGTCTTGAGACTGCACTTTGTGTTTTAAGTCTTAATACTTTCCAAGATGTTGTGATGGCTCCAATGAATCTCCAGGAAGCTTGTTCCAAACTATTGAAACTCAGTCAAGTTGTACAATACTATTTTTATGTCTGGAGGGTGAAGATAATGGCACTAACAAAAACTGTTTTAGTGTTTGAACAATCTCTATGTGATAAGGTGTTTGGTTTATGGGAGAGTTTGTAAGATGGGATAATGGATTGAGGTTCTGTTTTGAATGAAAGTAGAGCTGGTTTTTTTGAATGAGCAAAAGTTACAAAGAATTCTATTTTTTCTGCTAAAAAACTCTCTATTATCTCTCTAAAAGCCAACCTCCTGTGTGTTGTGAAAATAGTATATTTATAGAGGAAGTTTTACTGGGATTTTGGGAGGGAAACAAATAATAATTTGAACAGTTTGGGTATGCTGCATCATTTCCTTTTAGATGCAGCTCTCATATGCAAATTTGATGTAAACATGAGGCTGAGGTAATGCAGGCTTGGGCTGGGTTGATAGTAGCATAGCAGGGCTATTTTTTGCAGCAGTTTTGGAGTGTTGTGGCAGCTTGGTGCAGGGTTGTTTTATAGCAGTATAACAAACTGTCTTTTGACATGGTTTTGGGCTGTTATGTGGACAGCACATCAGGCTTGGATTTGACAACATATAGGGCTTTGTTCAGCAGTAGTTTGAATAACATTGTTGGTAGCATGACACTAGTTTAGTTTTGTGGGCCAATTTATGCAGATTGTAACAAAGACAAAGCATGTTTGTGGCAGCATAGTGATAAGGTTTGAGTCAAAGGGAAATAGTTCAAACAAGACCAAACCTAGGATTTGTAATCTTGCAAAAATGACACTTTGTAATAACTTGAATTATTTGTAACATCTTGAATTATTTGTGACATCTTGAATTATTTTGAATTGTAGTGAAAAGATGTCATGAAGCAATGAAATTAACAAGTATAGAAAATACTTAGAAAAATTTCCAAGTCTCGCAAAGTTGGATTTTTCACTCTCTTGATTTTTGATGATCAAATTTCATATTTTGGATGCCTTGATGAAGTGTGATTTTTGAGACTCAATTTTGGTCAAAAAGTCAAAGTCTGACTTTTTAGTGTACAATTGACTTTTTCCACCAGTTGATCGAATTTCGTCTATCAATCCACTGATCCCAGAAGATGAATTGAAATATGCGATTAGGTCAAAATGACGCGCTCAAATCCTTGAGATCATGCTTCCAACCAATAAGTCAGGTATTAGGTCGACAATCAAGGTTCAGTCATTTCCAATCAAAACCCTAATTTTGCCCATTTTGCCCATTTGATAACTTGAATGACTTTCTTGGAAAATTGTGATCCAAGACTTAAAAATTTGACAGAAGTAATCTTGAGGTCCATAATGATCCATGAAAGTCATTTGAAACATTAGAAATCCATCTGTCTTCGTATAAACTCAAACCCTAATTTGAGGCATCAGTGTTGAGGAGATTGTTTGACCTAGTCGATACTTGCGCAAACTTGAGTCATTGAAGATCTTTGTAGGAAATATCTTGAGAAATGAGAGAGAAAATTTTGGGGTACAACACCATGCATTTAACATTTTCTACCTCATAATTTTGTTGAAAATTTTGGTGGTTCACTCAATGATTTTATCTCCAAGACTTTTCTTCACTACAATATGTATGTTGTCTAACCCATCCACCCTGCAATTACTCACCTTGAGTTTTTTAATCTGATGATAAAATTTATAGTTTTAATCCTCTTCTCTAATGTCTAACATGTTATAGTCCAATAAGATATCATATTCTTCATTAAATAAATTATAGAAATATTTCTCCTCTCTATCCTTTATATCATTTTCATGAGAGAAAATTCTGCATTCCTCATCTTTAACACACTTCACTTGATTAAAATTTTACGTCTTTCTTTATCTTCACTTAACAAGTTGCATATGAATTTTTTCCTCCCTTAATATTTATTAAAGATTGATATGATTCATAAAAAATTTGAGTTTTTGCTTCACTCCCGACCTATTTAATCTCTTTCTTAATTTTCTTTTATAACTTAAAGTTTAATTAAATGAGTTAGTGAAATGATTATTGGTAAAAGTTTAATTAAACGAGTTAGTGAAATGATTATTGGTAAAGAGAATAAAAAAAATATGCTAAGAGTGCGATTCTAAAAAAGATTCTAAAAAAGAAAAGACAACATTCCAATTTCTTTAAATTTAATTGAATATCAGTAGTCTCAATCAATTAAATATTATGATTTAAAGTCATGTGATATTTTTATTTAATTTAATTTAAAAATAAATTAAAATTTTAATTTAATTTATATTAAAGATAATGATATCCAACTATTTATCATGGATACCTAAGAATTTACCAAAACAAAATTACATTCAAATCAAACATTTTTTTATTTATAATTTTTCCCAACTTCTAAACAGTTTATAAAAATATACACAAAAAATGTTTTGTTCTATTTTCTTTTGAAACACAGTTATTTAAAATTTTTTTGTCCTATTTTCTTTTCAAACACAGTTATTTAAAACTGATTTATTCAAATATTTAAAAACTAAAACTAAATAAAACTGGAACCTAATTTTCCTTTTCTAAAAACAAAAAAACCTAGTAGTTCCCAAAGAAATTAAAACCAAAAATATTACAGGTATATAGTTTTACAACGAGTCACACGCCGAGTTGTAATAACACGGTGGTTAATTAATTAATTAATTAATTAGTCCATAGTTAAACAAAGAGGAGTGAAGAATGAAGATGAAGAAGAGTACCAGTGGCAGTAACTAACTACTACTACTACTCTTTCCACTTTTTTTCATGTAAGAGTTACAAGAGAAGAAAGGCATCATCACATAACGTAACCAACTACCATCATCAACAACAATGGCGTCATCTTCTTCTTCCCGCATCCTGTTATTGCTCATGCTGTTTCTGACTGCATCTGCCTCCGATGATGCGATGCGCGATGATGAAAGGGCTCCTAAGTCCGAATCATGCAATAACCCCTTCCAATTGGTTAACTACTTCTAAGTTCATATTTCAATTTCAATTCTAATTGATTTTTACCTAATTTGTTAGATCTTGACTTTATTACAATAGTTTTCTCTGTAGCATCGACATCTCTGAAGAAAAAAAAGTGTATCTGTGTCTGAAACTAACACATATACTTGAGATTACGTTTAATTAACTAGAGATTAAGTTAATTTATTCATTTTTCAAATCTCTACCGGTGTGGATGTGGATGTGTCGGTGTCGTGTTTCTGGTGTCTGTGCTTGATAGATAATTTTAATTTAATTTAATTACAGGTTAAGGTGGAAAACTGGGCTGATGGTGAGAAAGGACTTACTCATAGCGGTATGACTGCAAGGTTTGGTTCTTCATTGCCGGAAAAGGCGGAAAATAGTGTTAGAACTCCAGCAATTTTGTCAAATCCTAGTGATTGTTGTTCTCCTTTAACTTCTAAGGTATTTTTCTATTTTATTTTCATATTTTGTTTTGTTTCATCGATTTCGATAAGGTTAATAACTGTTCTGAGTGTGTTATTTGTTTCTTATTTTGCAGTTATTTGAGTCTGTTGCTCTGTGTATTCGCGGTGGTTGTGATTTTCAAGTTAAAGCTACATTTGCACAGGCAGGAGGTGCTACTGGTGTATTGATTATTAATAACGAAGATGGTACGTTTCAATGCTTTTTAAATTAAGTTTTATTCCTTTATTGTTTACTCCCTCTTTTGGTATAAAAAGTAACAAAACTTATTTGGTTGTCTTACTCTTTATACGTGCAAAAAAGGAAGGGACAAAGTAATTGTAGTATAGTGGTGTGTTTGTTCTGGCAGTGGGAGAGAAGCTAGAATATCCAACTTCATAAAATCGTGGTAAAACTAGCATTGAGACGTGATAATTATACTTTTGACGCGTAACCAAACATTTACTAACGTAGTTTCCTTAACATAAAACTCTAGCATATTCGTGCATATTAAAATCCGAATGCATTTGTCAATAGACGGGAAAGATGAAGTGGAAGCAGTAAGGCAAGCACAAACATAGTGAAATCTCATCTTGCTTTTGCACTAACAATTAAGAGACCTGCTATTGTGACACAAACACCAACACCATATGTCGGAGACCACCGTATAAAATACATCAAGAATAATTGCTGGCCTGATTTGAGGAGAGAGATAACACTAACACAAGAACGAAAACTGTATGACATACGGTTTTAGATGTTGGATTCCGAAGTCAAAGAAACATGTCCGACCAAATAAATATCCTCAAAATGTTTTAGCATTATGATTGACTAATTGAAATGTTGCTTTCATTGCAATTAATGACCTACTCACAGCTCTTTTATCTGCTCTCTATACTCAATAAATTTTATGTTGCAGTATTTTGTCTGATATCTAACTATTTATTTATTTTTCTCAGATCTTGCTGAGATGGTTTGCTCCAATAGCACCGTGGCAAACGTTTCAATTCCTGTTGTGATGATAACAAAATCAGCAGGAGAAGCTCTCAATGCATCTTTAGCATCTGGAAAGAGAGGTGAGTGCTTCAATGCTTCAATTTTTAGAGCTTCTATTTCTACTATTAATTATTAATTATTAATTACTATTATTGTCTTTGACAAAGATTTAAGGATTTTATATCTATTGAACATTATCATATGCATATTAGATGCAAATCTTCTCTGGCTCTAGTAAACATGCCTATGAGTCCTATGATGACACTTAAACTATTGACACTTGTGTGCGGCAATATTTTTTTCTCCTTGCTTGTAGTAGTCGTAGAAGAGTTTATTCCTCCACCCCTAGTTGGCTTAGGACTTATTAAAGAGAAAATTATAAATCTCTCTTCTCTTGAAGTAGTGTGATAATTGAGAATAAGATCTTTTGAGCCTTCAAATAAGAAAAACAAATCAAATAGAAGATAGTATAACAGAATAGTAAGACTTACAAAAACAAAGTAGAAAAACCATTGAGAAACTGGTCGTCGAACTGGTTTTATTAAAACTTATGGTTTTAGATCGAAGCCAATGGTGTATATCAATCCTTGCACAAAACCTACCTAGTTGGATAAGGCCTTGGTGCACTACTGTTGTACAAAATGAGGTGTAGCGGGGAGCTTATATTTATTTTTTGACAGTGAGAGCTTGGTTACTTTGTAGCAATTGTGTAGAGTTTTATATTAAGCGTTGGATTTGAATTTGGATATATTATGTGGTCATCTTAAATTCCCTTGTAACTTGAATTAATTATGAATAGCAAAAATATAGCATCATGGTATCATGGATTGAAATTTCAAACTGATCTAGCACAAACATCACCAAGTGGTTTTAAAGCATTGACCGGAAATTCCACCATGTCTCCTCTCATGCAAACTCATAACTGGAGCTTAGCATTTTCGTATATCCTTTGAACAAGCGAGATGGGAAATTTTTTGCCAGCTTTATCAATAAAATGCATATTTATCTTAGATGTCAGGTTTATTTTCCACATGGTCTACATATAGTTAATTTTGCATTGTATATTGCAGTGGAAGTTTTGTTATATGCACCTCCTCGACCGCTTGTAGACTTCTCAGTTGCATTTTTGTGGTTGGTGGCTGTTGGAACACTTGTATGTGCTTCTCTATGGTCAGATCTTACTACTCCTGAGAAGTCCGGTGAACGCTATAATGAATTGTTTCCCAAGGTTTTTCCTAGCAACCCTTTGTCCGCCTTAAAATTTATGATATGTACTTGAATGCCTGTTGATGATGCCTTGAGTAAGCACTTTTTGGATGCGGGGACATACTTTTGTCAATGCTGAGATGGAAAATGTATTAGACACTGGCGTTGGCACGTCTATTACCTACATATCTTTGAGTTTCTTTCTTACAACCATTTTTAATTTCACCAAATATTGTTAGAATACTATAAAATATATGATAATATCTTTTATATTAATTTAGAGTATCTTAGAATATCTCTTATTATCAGATTTGGTATTAGTTATTGCCATCATGATTTGCTTTTGATTTAGAATTGTGTCTATACATCCATATGAATAGAGATTAGTATTGAGTCTTTGTATCATTAATAGTCATTATTAATAATAATTTTCACTCATCTTCTACACATAATCACAAATTCAATATGGTATCTAGAAATCAGTTTGATCCTCCTTGAACCGTCTCCACTAATCTGTTGTCGAGTTCCCAAACGGTTGGGAATATCATAATAGTTTTCTCGTTTTCGAGCAGGGTTCAAAATCAGTTATTTGTCTTTGGATTCTGCAACCGTCAAGGTTATCCCTAGTTTATTTTTCAGTTTCGTATAGTCCCAAAGTAGTTCCAGGGTTGTTGCTGTTTTCTTCAGAGAAACTTCAACTGTCGTGTTTGACAACACTACACGCTCACACCGTCAGATTCTCCTGAGTCAAATCGGTCAGTCCCTGAAGCTCCTCCGTCAGATTCTCCCGAGTCAAATCGGTCAGTCCCTGAAGCTCCTCCGTCAACCCCTTATCTTTGAATTTCTTTTGCACGTCTATTACCTACATTTCCTTTTATGATTATCTTTGAATTTCTTTCTTACAGCCGCATTTAATTTCATTTACTATTATAAATTGTACACTATAGTAAATGATCTTGTATTCTTCCTACCATTTTGTTAACTAATACAAAATTATCGAAGTTTGTTTTTAACATATCTTCAAATGCATAGCTTTTTACATATACGTCTTTTTAATCTTTTGCTAGGAATCTCGAAATGCTGCAGCAGCAAGAGGTGGTTATGATAAGGAAGTTCTTAAGATTAATTCAAAGGCTGCTGTCGTATTTGTCATAGCAGCATCTACTTTTCTTGTTCTGTTGTTCTTCTTCATGTCAGCATGGTTTATGTGGGTGCTCATTGTACTTTTCTGCATTTCTGGTGTTCAGGTAATGTAATTCTTTCTTTCCATGGCTTTTACTCCCATTATTGCAAATTGACAAAAGATCATATTTCATAGTATGCATGAAGAGGGAGGGTATTAGTTCCCTATCATGCATGATTCAAATTTCTGTCTATATAAACTGACGTTTTATTAGGCTATTAGCAGTTCCAAGTAGTTGACATTTACTAATCTTATATACGAAATTAACCTTGTTGATTTCATACATAAGTTGCATGAAGGAAAGAATAGGAGAGGAAGAGAGTGGTAATGTCTGTGTGAAAGACTTTAAGACCAAAGATATCAATATCATCACTCATCATTATCATCAACATACACAATCAAAAGCTTGAATTTCCTCTTCAATTAATATAAGTTTGAATTCATTTTCAGGGGATGCACACTTGTATTACAAGCCTCACTTTAAGGTATGACCAATCTCTCTCTGTTTCTATGGACAGAAAAGGAAATCAGTGTTCTCTCTGCATGCCTAGCGTTCTGTTAATTTTCTCAATCCTTTATTTTTTTCTTACCAATTGTGATATGAACAGGAAATGGCAAAATTGTGGTCAGAAGACTGTAAATGTACCTCTATTTGGGGAGGTTTCTATTTTCTCGCTGTTAGTGTTTTTATTCTGTGTCGCATTTGCTGTTTTCTGGGCTTCTACTCGACATGAATCTTATTCTTGGATTGGCCAAGACATTCTTGTAAGTTTCATATTCTAGTATCTTCATTACAGTTCTTTAAATTCTGTTATCACCGCAGTGTCTGAATTGAATCTTACTTTGTTCAGATGCCTAGCAGACAAAAGTCAATTCCCTTTCTTAAATGTTGTTTGTGAATACTGTCTGTCATTTGAAGTTGAGAGGAAGCTAGAAGCTTTGTATGATAAACTAGAGTAGAAGTTTGCAATGGTTTCTGTAGTCGGATTTTCCTAGTTCTCATATGTGAACATGTCCTATTAAAAGTTTCAAAACAGGAATTCATGGTTTAACAAACTTTATAGCTCATCTATTAAGTTTCCAATTGATTTAACAACTGGTTCCTCATCCACCGTTCTTTGAAGTTTTAACAATTTTAACAACCTGATTACTTGAGCGCTGTTCATTAGTCTATAAATTGGAAATCTTTTGACCATTATTCCCTTTTCCCTACACATACTCGTCAAGTTTATTATTGTCAAATCTTTAAATAATGCCTCTGTATGAGTCTGCACACATGGGCCAAATACAACATTGGGATCTTGGTTGGTTCCTATTGAGCTTTCTGAAGCATTGCACTGGAAGTTTGTTTGCTATCTAGCATGTTTGAGACTGTAAACCAATGAGTAACTGTGTGATTGATCTTTGACTGATAGCTGTTCACTTAATGTATTTTTTGTTCTTAACAGGGAGTCTGTTTGATGATAACAGTCTTGCAGCTGGCTCAATTACCCAATATTAAGGTAGCTAAATGGAATCCTTATATCTACAGTTAATTAACCATTCTTCCTTTTCTTAATTTTTTCTGTTTGTCATCAATTACAATTATTGTCATTTTCTTATTCATCTAATTTAATAGGTTGCGACTGTACTCCTCTCTTCTGCTTTTGCCTACGACATCTTTTGGGTGTTCATATCTCCGTTGATATTCCATGAAAGTGTCATGATTGCAGTAAGTATTCACCTGTACAAGTAATACTTTAGCTCTTCACTTTTATCTTTTTAGTGCAGTTTGCATCTTCAAAGGAAATTTTGGTAGAAAATGAGGAAAAACTAGAAAATGTAGTCAGAGGACAAAGTATCCTTTTAGCATAGTGTTATAATATAAGAAAGTATCCCCTCTGTTACTTTTTAATTGTCACTTTTGTTGAAGAATTTTGTTCCTATTTATCCGCCGTTTTCAAATTTTAATGCAACATTAATTATTGTTTTGTCAATAATACTTTTAAAGTGTGGATTGAGCCTACCTCAACCTTACAAAACCGACTTGTAAAGTGAGGATTGCCCTCAACTTATAAACATATGTTCAAGGCTTCAAGCCATCTCTCATCTAATGCGAGGCTCTTAACAAATACCTGTAACTATTTATTGCATAAAGACAATGGAATGACATGATAAATAGTTTAGGGCATTATAGGAAAAAGACTGAAAGTTCATCAAAATTAACAAAATTTATTATTTATCTTGGTATTGGTAGATCTTAAAATGACAACTTAAAAGGAACCGCAAAAGTATACTAGAATTTCTCAATATCATGTTAGAGTATCATAGTTTATTGCATGAGACTAGTTTCTAAATTTAGAGTATCATAGATTTTCTCATAAGATTAATTTCCATATTTCTTAGTTATTACCTACCATGAATTGTTTTCTGATTTCCGTATTTATTTAGGATTAAGAGTCTTGTATCCCTATAACAGGGATTGGTGTTTAGTCTTTTGTGTCAAGTCTTTATCAATCATGTTTCACCATAATTATATTTCTTATTACTCTACTCTTCCTTTATCCAAACCTATTATTTCAACTCCCAGCAAGAAAGGAAATCCTTATTCAAAGACATTTGGCTGATTAATATATACTCTTACATAATTGACAACTTGGAACGAACAAGTTTTGGGGTGGAACTTTTATGGAAGTTTTGAAATTATGGAGCATCGGGATTTAGTCTTCAGCTCCAATGCAAACATAATAAATAGAGCATGCTTTTTGGGAGCAAGAAGGCAGGGGGAAAAACGAAAATTTTCAAGAATCATTAGTTGATTAGTTGATAGTATTACAATTTGGGTTGAGCTTAGCTAAACTCTTACAAAGCCGACTTATAAGGTATAAACTCCGATACCACTTATTGGAGACTGGAGAGTCGCATGGAGCTCTAAGAGCAAACATCGGGCCAATGCTCCAGGACCAACAAGAGAATAAACACCACACCTCCACCAAAAACCTTAAGGCTTTGAGTATATAGGTCATCTCTTTTATATATCCAACATTGAACTCATTTTTAGTCAATGTGAGACTAATCACTCACGCTCGAACCTAAATTTTAATATTGTATCAGAGCTAGGTTTGGCTTAGTGGGGGAGCGGGAGTAAGATCATGGTATTGATCATTGTAATGGAAGACATCCAGACAGTTTAGTTAGGAGGCGTGTTCCATCACTAATAATTGCGGAGCCAATTTAAGATGTGGAGAATTCACATTTGAGGGGAGATTGCTTAAGATGTGGAAAATTCACACTTAAGGGGAGATTGCCGGGTTCAAGTGTGAATGATTAGTTATACATTGACTATGAATGAACTCAATGTTGAATATATAAGAGAGTTGAGGTGACCCATATTCTCAAAGCTTCGAGTCTTTTTGGTGTAAATGTGGTGTCTGATCTCTTGTTGGTATTAGAGCATAGGTTCGTTCTTGCTTCTGGTGTTCCCCCAGACTCCCCAACAAAAGATGGTAAAGAGTGAGCAATGGAAACGCCAAATGCTTGAGGAGGGTTGTGAATTGTGTGAGCCATGTTTTGGATCACAACGGATGGTAAGCACAGTTGTTAAGAACCTTGTTCTTGGCCAAACTAGGTGGATAACTAGAGTGATGAAGTTATGTGATGAGGGAATATAATGGGGCAACACAAAAGTTTGATCGAAGAGCCAATGAGGTGAAAGGGGAAATGGAAACTCACTCTCTATACTACCCAAAAACCTTGTTTTGGAGAGCTCGATCACAAACTACATACAATATTTTGTTTTGCCAAGAAAACAAGAAAGAGAAGGGAAGTGTATTACAAAATACAGAAAAGGGAAGTGTGTTACTGACGAGTTAAGCATTTCTTCTGCCCTGTTACGGTAAAGAAAAGGAGGATCTAGCAAGAACCTGTGTTCGGTGATATGCTTAAGTGTAGCTTCTTTTACTGTAGATTATTTATAACTTTAGTGTCTGGTGAGAACCTGTGTTCTGTGTGAATGCACATGCTTACAGTTAAAAGAGTTAAATAATGAATAAAACAAGTGCTCTTTTATTCTTATCAAATGTACCTTTTGTTTTCTTTCTAAAATTGTGTGGTCTTATATATTTGTCTCAATCGTATATGATATGAGTCTTCTTTTACAGGTTGCTCGAGGTGACAAGGCTGGTGGTGAAGCAATTCCCATGCTTTTGAAATTTCCTCGTCTTTTTGATGCCTGGGGTGGTTACGACATGATTGGATTTGGAGATATTATCTTTCCTGGTTTGCTTGTTTCCTTTGCTCATAGGTACCGAATTCCTTATTTTCTAAATGTCAAATGTAATTGCAAGATTTACAAAGTTTAAGATTTACATATAGCTCAGTCGAAAAAGATGTACAAATAGCTTTCAGTGAATAGTGTATATTTTTCCTACCATACTTTGTAGTGATATCTGTTGAAAGTTGAAACAAGTTTACTCGTGTGAGAATCAAGCTGCTATGCATTTTCCCTCTAATATTGTATTTCAATGAAGAATATCTTTAAAAAAAAAAGAATATCACACCATCTGCACGCAAATAAAACTTGATCAAATTTTATTACTTTCCCAAGCCTTCTGTCATGTGGACAATATTTCATACAAGCCCAGAAGATTTGATGTGACTAGACTTCTTTTTTGATCTTTGCTCAAGGAAGCTTTTATTTATGTACTTCTGATATGATGCTTCGTTTTAACATATTTATTCTGTCTTTGGTTGTCTAGATTTGACAGAGATAATAAGAAGGGAGCATTAAATGGATATTTTCTTTGGATGGTAATTGGCTATGGCATTGGTAAGTTCTTTTGTTCTGTTTTAGTATTGATTAATTTATAATTTTCTCCTTCATCAGAACTGCTGCTTATTTTTTACCTCATGTACGTTAAGGCCAAATATTTCTTGGCTTTATTCATGCATTGGCTGATTAGAGTTGGTAGTAAAAATTGTATTCTTACTTTGGATCGAGTTAAACTCAACCCTACAAAAGTGCTAATTCAAATTACCAAGTGTAGTTTAGATCAGAATGAATGTGATGCCAACCCAACATCCAAGCAACTCTTGATCATCTGTTTCTTTTTGTTTGATTGATAAAGCAGAAGTAGCTCTACTTTCTCAAGCATGGTTATTGATTTTCTTATAAATCATTCAACTTTCTCAGCTATTTAAACTTGTAATTTGGATTAGTATCATTATTCTCGTATATCATGAGGGAGTGTCTTTTTACATTTCAGGCCTCGTTTTCACATATTTGGGGCTATATCTGATGGACGGAAATGGACAACCTGCACTCCTCTACCTTGTTCCATGTACTCTAGGTAACTAGTTTTTGGTGGAAATTATATCTGAAGTTGTTTGTATTATCATTGTTTTAGCTCTCATGTCGGGTCATTATTTATTTTGATTAAATCAACAGGCGTCATTATCGTACTTGGACTTATAAGAGGCGAGCTGAAGAGCCTTTGGGATTATGGCACTGACTCGTCCTTGTCCACAGAACCTTCATATTCAGAAGTTTAAGTTGTTAACTATAGTACATTCTTTGAGAGTTGAAGAAATTGAAACGATTGCAGCTCAATGGTCCGAAATAAATGCTGTGGTTAGCACAAACACAAGGTGTACAGGCTCGATAACTATCGTTGTACTCCATCATTGTAGTTCTCTTGTAAAAAGAATGAAAAACAGAAGAACTCTTACAACTCAAAACAAACGTTTTATTTATTATTTGTCAATTTGTTGTGCAACTAAAATTTGATCATTATTTATGCATGCACCTTACAAGTATAAAAGTGATACGAACGTTTTATTTGTTATTTGTCAATTCGTCGGGCAACTAAAATTTGATCATTATTTATGCACGCGCCTTACAAGTATATAAAAGTGATACAATACAAGTTTAGTCTTGTTAGGTCTTTACTATACCCCTCAACTATCTAAATCAAATGCTTTTTGTTAAAAAAGCTGTATGACTTTCTAAGTTTTTTATTTTTTGCTAAGCAAGTTGTTTGTTCCAGAGATATCGTCTTAGTAGTTAGAATCAATGTTTTAAAAATGAAATTCGAATTGGTATTAAATCATTATCGAACCACTTAAATAGCTTAAATAAATTAACAATGTGTAGTGCTGATAAACCTCAGAGGTTGGTTTAGTAGCGAAAGTTTGAGTTGGTTTAGTAGCGAAAGTTTGAGTTATGTGAATATGAATGTGCTCCTCTCAAAGTTTTAGATTCAAATTCCGTTACTGTGCAGAGTCCCCATATACAAGATTTGCTCAGCTGATCCACCAAGTGCAATCAATCGTGAAATGTACTTCTATGAACAAGATTTGCTCTGCATTACCTGACCTGTCAAATGGCACAAACATGAAACTGAAATTGCACTAAAATATATGGCTGTAATTAATACTTTGATCTGTCTATCTATATAATTTTGATGCAAAATCACCTCTCATTTTTTGCCACCAATATTATGCCAAGCCAAAAATACTCCCTCTTCACATGCCTTTGTTTGTAGTGAATATATAATATGATATATTCTCAACAATATGGGGTGGTTGGTCCACCACTGAACACTCACGGGTTCATTCCAACTACAAAGTCTTAATGCTATCAATTAAGTACTGCACTTAGCATTGTCACATAGCTTCACATCTAAGATTATCTAACTAAAAATACTCAAACCAATCTAAAATAAACTAAAAAGCCGAAAATGAATTTTATTGGATCACTAAATATTTTAAAACCGATTCAAATCGAACCCCACCATCGATATATACATACACTAGCAGCTAATTTTGTAGAAGTGTTTGATTCCAATATTCCACATGGATCCAATTGGTTTCTTCCTTCTTTTGACATCTCTGTTGTTCACTTACCCCTTTGTGCTCATTGCTCAAAATCAGTCAACCACAACAACTATCAGTGTTGTAGGAATTGTTTATTGTGATACATGCTCAACTGGAACTTTCTCTAAACACAGTTACTTCTTGTCAGGTAAGTACTAAGTACTTTTTTCCATCTTTTGAAATGTCTGGTATCTGATACGTTTCAGTGTCTTGTATAATACAATAAAGACATGTATATGATGTCTATGTGTCAGTGTGTGGTATCTGGTATCTGTATTCATATTACGTTGTTGATGTGTATGATATATATCAGGTGTTGAGGTTCATATAGAGTGCAGATTTAGAGCGAGCTCGCCAAGAAGCAACGAGCAGATAAATTTTTCGGTGAACAGAACAACGGGTAGAAATGGAGAATACAAGTTAGATATACCATCAGTTGATGGAGAGAACTGTGAAAGTTCTACGGATGGTGGTAATTCAGAGATTGTAACTCTATGTGAAGCAAGTTTGATAGGAACCTCATCATCTTCTTATTCTTGCAATGTTCCTTTCTTAAAGAGCACAAGAAGTAGTGAGATATCAAAACAAGATAATAACCTATGTGTATACAGCCTAGGAAGCCTAAGTTACAAGCCACCTATAATCAATACTCCCTTATGCTCAAATTAGTTTGTTTCGATCTCAAGTTCACTGCACTGAAAAACTTTTCAGAGGTATTTTGCGAACTTTCACAAGTTTGCCTTACTTAAAAGATATTATTGGATTGAGTGTGTATTTATAAATTACGTGTCGGTCGTAACTTCGACTTTGAAGTAATGTGAGATTTTTTAGTATATACTAGAATCAAATTTGTCTGAATTCATTTTAGCACCTCCCTTCATTTCTTTCCTTGGATGTTTTCCATTCAAGTTAGGGTTAGGAGGCCATTCTCTTCCTCTTTCTCAATATCCTTATCCCACACCATCTTCCCTCACCCACTTTTATTTTTAAGGGACCCCCTACTAAGCCAAGACCACACATTCTCATCTCTGATCTATTCATTTTCTTTTTTTACTTTTGAGATAATTATTTTAATATTTATATATTCAAATACAGATTTTTTTTTCAGACACTTTATTTATTTATTTTAATATTTTTTTATTTTATTTTTATTTAATCAGTGACATGTCAATATTCTTTGAAGTTCTTATAAAAAAATCTCAAAAAATTAACTATACTATCAACTTTGTTGTTGCAAATAATTATCTCAAAATTAATTAATATCAAAATAATTAATTTTTTTCTCCAATTTCAAATCTCTAATCTTCCTTCTATCTTCTTCTTCTCCAAATTGACAAAACCCATCACCACCCATGCAACCAATGATAAAGTGAAGTCCTATAACTGTTCCACAACTCGGTTATTTAATATGAGATGTCAAACACGGCTGAACTTGCATCTTTCTTTGTGCATAAATTATCTCAAACATACTTGTTATCCAAATACAATCATATATGAGAAACTTGCATCACCTTCAACTTACGCACAGAACTCCAATCTAACACCGTAACTCACCTCTCACCTTGTGGAGGTTATGTTGTCACCGGTGGAGCATGATGGTGATTAAAAGGAAGTGTGATTATAAGTGTGTTGATTGAAAATTTAAAGGCAATATGATTATGTTTCGAACAAACAAGTGCGAGTTGGATTAGCAAGTATTAGGATTTGAACTTTTATTATGGTTAGAAAACATATGCCTTGTTTGTGAAGACATTTTTACTCCATCTCCTCCTCATGCTGAGCTTTTATTATGGTAAGAAAATATCTCCTTTAATAATGGTATTCATGTTTGAGTTGCAGTTTTTAGATAGAATAAAATAATTAGCTCTGAAGATTTTATATTCATATCATAATGTTACTTGTTCAACATGCTTTAATTGCAAAAAAATGGCATTCTCAACAACCTATAGATCAGTAGGCCGTCGTGGAATCAACTGAGGAGATAATGACAATAAGAATAAGGATTAACTGATTATATCATCTCGGGGGTGATGGATTTTGTCAATTCGGAGAAGAAGAAGATTAGGGATTTGAAATTGGAGAAGATTAAATGATTTTAATATTAATTAATTTTGAAGTAATTATTTGTAACAATAAAGTTAATGGTGTAGTGGTTAGATGTTTGATGAATGAGTAAAAATTTATAGGTTTAAATTTTTGAAGGAATAATTTTTTCATATGAATTTCAAAGAATATTGACATGTCATTAATTAAATAAAAAAAAAATTTCACATGAGTGTCACATATGAAGATTTCAATACATAATAAACTAATAATAAACTAAAAAGGTGTCTGAAAAAAAAATTATATTTTATAAGAGAGAATTACAATTTTTTTAATTAAAAGTGGATAAAACAGATTAATATGACAAGGGACAGAACTCATTTAACCTTAAATTTTATTTATCATTTTTATTATGAAATGTAGTGTGTAATTCATGTATTTATTTTATATATGAATGTTAATAAAATAATACCCTTTTGTATGCTGATATGAATATCAACGACAGCAATTTCATATGAAGAAGAAAAAAAAAGGGATCAACGACAGCAATTTTCTTTCTTTTAAGATTTGTTTATAACTAGGAATATAAGCAGCAACATTATTGCTCTATGCCGCCTTTCTTCTTTCTTCAATTTTAGTTTTTTCTATTTTTTTTTCATTCACTAAAGAGAAGTGGTTTTATGGTCAATTTTTAATCTAATATTATTCCTCTAAATTTTTTCTCCCCCTTTTTCCATTAAAATAAGTGATTCACATATATTTTTAGTTTTTTCTTCGTGATTTCATCGTTTTAGTGTGACGTTGATTTTGATCGTCATCTTATTGCGATGTTATTTTGTTTTCCCGTCTTGGTACGATGATTGTTCGGTTCAGATTGATAAATTAGTTTTGACTCAGTGCATAATCAATCAATGACTTTGACGTCGTCAACATTGCAGACTCGAAGACATGAGTATTCAAAGCATTTCAAATTTGTGAGATTTTTAGACTTTGTCACGTTTGTAGGTATTTTTCCGTTATATGCTATCAACGTGGATGCTGTAAATTTGTTCACATGATCCGATGCGGTGAATCATGTCTAAAATTATAAGTTTGCAAGGAGTGTTACAACAATGGAGTAAGACTAAGTTCGCTAATGTGGATCCACAAGTAGTTAGAGCCTTGAAGGAAACGTAGCAAATTCAAAATCTCATTAACGACAGGGAGCTTGATAAAGGACTTCACGAGCAAAATATTCATTCCCATATTAATCTGAACACAACCCTGGATATCTAAAATCAATTTGGTCAGAGAAGGCTAGACTCAGGAGGTTTGCAGATGGAGACAGAAACACAACGTATTTTCACAAACTATCTAAGTTCAAGGGTATAAACAAGAAAATTGATTTGATAATGGATGTGGATAGAATTATTATGGAAAATCGTCTTATCAGGAAACATATCCTTAGTTACTTTACCTCAATCTTTGGCACGAATAACGAATGTAGTCAAAACATTATATTCCATGATTCTATTTGTTGTACCCCAAAATTTGCCCTCTCATATCTTCCAAGATTTTCTCTTACATGGGCGGTTTACAAACACTTGTTTAAAGAAAATGAATTTTTTTGAATGATGGTCATGTGTCTTTCGATTGGCATCTGAAAATAAAGTGTACTTTGAAGGCATGTCAACAATATCCTTCGATTGACAGGTGAACAAAAGGGTCTTCGATTGGCATCTGGACAAGGAGCTCCGAATGGGCTTTTAAAACCATTCGAACGATATTTGTCTCACAAGCTTCAATTGGGCATCTAAAAACTTTCGATTAAACATTGGCCCACCAGCTTCTATTGAGCGTTGGTTCCCCTTCGAGCAAGCCTTGGTCCAAGTTTCATTTAGACAAGAACCCCCTACAAGTTCCCTTCGAATCCACAAGGCAGAGGCTTCCTCAGACTTGTCTTGGATTCACAAGGGCAAAGGCTTCTACTATGATTTCCTTCAATGCACAAGGCAAAGATTTCCTCTGTGTTTGTTTTCAATGTACAAGGTCAAGACTCCTCAATATAGTTTCTGCACTATGACACACAATATGGCCCCTTCGAAAGAGCACTCCAAAGGTCCATTCGAAGGACACACATTGGTGGCCCATTCGAAGAAGGCACAAGGCATACATGTAGACTATTCGAAAGGCACACAAAAAGTCCATTCGAAGGATATATACGTGGTCGATTCGAAGAAGACACATAATTATTGAAAGCAAGTTTGTCTTATGATGAGTCTCAGTCCTACATGTTTCCATGCCCAAGCCTCCTGTGCAATGGCATTCGAAAGAAGTGACAAAAGAGGCTTCGAGTGGCAAGAATGAAGTTCTCGTTTGGGCTATTTGAGTTTTCCAGAATCAAGCAGTTAAGGAAAATAGATGGGTCCAATCGAAGGATCCACGAGGAGTAAGTCATAGCCAATCGAAGAGTAAAGATCTGAGGGGTTTTCGAAGAAGCCCTGATAAGGGAAACTCTGAACAGATTCGAATTCAGAATCATCAAAAAGAACAATGCTCTAACAAAGAGAATTCTGAGCAATTTGAATTGATGTCGATGGTGACTTTCGAAGAAGCCCTGATAAGGGAAACTCTGAACATATTCGAATTCAGAATCATCAAAAAGAACAATGCTCTGACGAAGAGAATTTTGAGCAATTTGAATTGATGCCGATGGTAACTTAATTGAGGAAACTCTGATAAGGGAAAACTCTGAACAATTGGAATTTAGAGTCATCAAAGATCTGAGCAATTCGAATTTATGTAGATAGACTCAATCGAAGGAGCTATAAGGATGAAACCAGAGCCATTCGAAGGAGGTAACTTAGAGTCAATCGAAGGGCAAGACTTGAGGGCATTCGAAGGTGAAACATGTCCAGGTTCACTCAACATTTCAAAATGGCATGAATAATCCAAAAAAGGCAATCCTTTAATTTATTTGATTTTTCCTTCAAAGCCTGGTTAATGGAGGTCCCTTGCCATTTCCACTCCCCTCAAACTCCTATAAGTACAGGCCTAAGGCACATTACAAAGGGTAGAGAAAAAACCATTAGAGACGACATACATACGCCCAGAAACTACACACATACACTGTCTCACACGCACACACTGCCTTATAAGCCATACTAAAGCTATCAAAAATCTCATAAGTGGTCCAAATCGAAGGAATCTTCAACAATGCTCCACTCACTCCTTAAAGTTTGCAGGAGACGTTCCCAAGCACTAGCCAATTCACGCCCAGAAGTGCCAAATCGAAGCCTCCCATCGTTGGTAAACTTTCAAATTCATATCTATGGTTTCATAATGTATTAATGTTTGTTCAGTGCTTGATTCACGCTCAGGATATCATGTAGCTCTGTTCGATTTGTATTCAAAGCTAAGGGCTTGGGTTCGACAACAGGTCCACTTTTGTTTTCTTTTATCTCTTACGCCCATACTGCAGATCTGACCTAAATAAACCAACATATGCAGGATCGAAGGACCTGGGTTCGACACCCAGGTCATGCTTTTTATTTTTTGCTAATATTTGTCTTGCAGGTCTAGATCGAAAATCACTTCCTCCCCCAGATTGAAAGGAATAACTTCCTTCCCTAGATCGAAGAAGACAATTTCTTTCCCTGGATCAAAAGAATCATATCTTTCCCAGGATCGAAGGATAATTTCCTTTCCTGGATCGAAGGATCTCTTTTTATTTTCTTATTTTTGGTTTTGTTTATTTCTTTCATTTCTTGCTTCCTTTTTTTATTAACATTAAAACAAAATCATAAAAATTATGTCTAGTCTTTTTTTAATTAAAATTATTTTTTGTTAACTAATTAATTTAATTACTTTAACATCTTTCTTAAAATTAAAATTAAATAGACTTAGACTTTATTTTCTTAAAATAAACAAAAACCAAAAAGACTTCCTTATTTTACTTAGCATTTTTTTAGGGTTTTAGACGTTATTTTAAATTCGTGCGCGTTATTATTTTCGCATTTTTTTTATACTAATGTACCTGCTGATAGAATGTAATAGATAATTACTAGAACCCTTTACTGCTTTTCTTTATTTTCTTTCCCCCATTTTT